CAGACAGAGGTTGAGTGACTTGTCGCTGTCTTGGGTTGAATTGAGCCTCAGGTCTTACTGGCTCCAAGTCCAGAGTTCTGTCCCCTGGGCCACTGAGCTCATGTGCCTAATGGGAGGGTACGGATAGAAATCACACAGGAAGGGCAGCCCCGGTGGGTGGCAATCGTCCCCGGTGGAGGGATCTTCAGAATTGATGAGATCATTGGACTACTGAGAGGCAATACCATCCAGCAGATTAGAGAGTCTCCTGACGTCAGGAAGACCTGGGCTGAAACCTTGTCTCTGGCACTTGCTAGCTGTGTGGCCATGGGTGGGCAAGCCCTGACCTTCCCCTAGTCTGTTTCCTCATCTACAAAAGGGAGTAATGCTACGTCCCACCTATCTCCCAGGGGGGTTGTCAGACTTAGAATGGAGATAAAGCATGGAAGACAGCTCACGCACTTTCCCATATTACATAAGTATCAGTCAATCTGTCAATCAGTCGGTCAACAAGCATTTATTAAGCATCTACCATTTGCTAAGCACTGGGCATACAAAGAAGGATGCTGGGAATACAAAAGGCAGCCTCTGCCCTTCTCCCCATCAAAGGGTGGGGGAGATCACCTGCAGACAAAGTGCCCAGAAGCTCTAGGCAGTGGAGATAAGCAGAGAGGATCCCCAGAGGCCATATTAGCTAAGAGACTGATAGAAGGAGAAGCAAGCTGCTCCCGCCCACCGGCAGAAAGTGAACAAGGACTCCTGGCCTGCTGGCTCATTTCTCCCAGAGATGTCAGCATCTGAATTCAGGCTCAGCCTGAACAGAGTTTCACCAGCACCAGAGAAGCCCTACGCACTACTGTCAGCTCCCCAGACCTCCAGGGCACTGTAGTGGGAAGACACATTAATCAAAAATGTCTACATGTCATCCTACAAATATTATGACTGCACACCAATCACTCGGAGAACCAAGGAATCTATTTTGGTTCCAATGTCACGAAACATCACGAGTCCAGCCACCAAAATCCCTGGAAATTCAATACCACCAGGCCCAAGGCATCCAAAGAGGCAATGAAATAAGCCTTGCCCTCAAGGAACTTACATTCTGCTGAATGTTGCAACCATACACACATTATTAAGTACCTAAGAGATGAAAAGGGAGTGGGAAGAAATGTTTCTACCCCTTTGGCCCTTTGGGAATTGTGAGAAACCATCCCAATCCAATAGTAATAATGATCACAGTAATGGTAACAGTAGTAGTAGTAGTAGTAGTAGTAGTAGTAGTAACCCTGGGACTCTGATCAGCACGGGAGAATTCCCCAGTAGATTGGGATAGTCCAAAGGAACCTGGGTCCAAAAGGTGTAGCAAGAGGCCTGCGACAGAAGGCTGGGGACTTTTTTTTGATTGTTTGGGGGCCACCTTTCCCAAGAAGGCTTCAGCTTGAAGAAAGACCAAGTGATCTGGTTGGACAGAACCTTAAAGGGCATCTTATCCAATGTCCTCACTTTACATTGAGGAAACTAAGGCACAGGTAGGTTAAATGATTAAGTCACACAGGTAGAAAATAACTGAGCTGGGATTGGAGTCAAGTCTCAGACTGTACTCCCAGGTCTCATCCACTGGGCCGCGCTGCCTCCCATGTACTCCAACAACCTCATGTTGCTGTTAAGAGCGCTGAAGCCCAAGTGTAAGCAGAGTGCCCAAGATCACCCAGCCTCTACTCAAGTGGGCTGGCTCATGGGACAGGTTAACACTGCCTCCTCGCCCAGAGGGGGATCCTGACTGGGAGGCAGAAAGGAAATCTTTTATAAGAACAACTTACAGATTATGGTTTTTAGTTTATTATTTTTTTCTTTTTTAGCACAGAAATTTGAAATGAATCAGAGATGTGTGAAAGCACATTTTTCGTTGTGGAAATGTACTTAATAAATTTTCTATCATTTAGAACCACAACAACGTGCAACATAAAATTTAAAACTCCTATAAAATGTCCATGGTGTCAGTGACTTTGCACTTCACTAAGACTTGTTGATAATAATGGGGGCTCACTAAATTATTCTGCATCAAAGCCATACCCCGCAAGGACCTCCAAGTGAAATGGAAATTTACAAAGACACACACACACACACACACACACACACACACACACAC